GTGACTCCTGAATTGGCAGATGGAGTCTTTACCACTTCTCTTCCAAACTATAATACTTTGGGAAGTATTCCTTGAGCCACCAGGGAAGCCCTTGTTGAAAATGAGTTAACCATAAATGCATAAGTTTATTTCTGGGTTCTCTATTCTGTTCCACTGGTCAATGTGTTTGTTTTTATGACAGTACCAGCTGTGTAATATAGTTTAAAATCAGGAGCGTGATGCCTCCAGCTTTGTCCTCGCTCAAAATTGCTTTAGCTATTTTCAGTCTCTTATGGTTTCATACGAATTGCAGGGTTGTTTTTTCTTTTTTGTGAAAAATGCCACTGGGACTTTGATAGGAATTTCAGCTTAAAGAAAAAAACTCGAACTCATAAGGGCATCTATTTTATTTGTGAAACCTATACTTTCATATATTTTCTGTGCATTTGGTTCATTTCTTGTCTTATAAGTTAAAGTTTGCAGAGTATCATCCCAGTTTACACCTGATATATCAGTATAATAATTACTAGCGCCCCCTTATGCTGTCAGAAGTATTACAGTTTAGATGAGAAATTGTATGTTACCCTGTCCACATACATTGTAATACCTCCAAAATGAATTACCTCCCAACTCTCCGTATTGAAAATGTGCTATGACATAAATAAAACTTTACAGTTTAAAAGAATAAAATAATACAATTTCTACCATATAAAGTTTTATACTTTATTCAAAGATTGAGGACTGAGTAGGCCTTTTGAGAGCAGGGAAGCAATGCCTTGACGGCATCTAAAATCTGCTCACTGTCCTTCGGAATTCCTTGGCTCCAGATTTCACCAAAGGATCAATGCGTGTTCTTATTTGATAAGGAATATGATGTCAATATTCTTGTTATTTAGAATTTGCTTAAGATTATTGATGATGGTGTGAAAGTGCTGTACTCAATATGCCAGCAAATTTGGAAAACAATAGTGGCCACAGGACTGGAAAAGGTCAGTTTTCATTCCAATCCTTAAGAAAGGCAAAACCAGATAATGCTCAAACTACTGCACAATTGCACTCATCTCACACGCTAGCAAAGTGATGCTCAAAATTCTCCAAGCCAGGCTTCAGTAATATGTGAACCGTGAACTTCCAGATGTTCAAGCTGGTTTTAGAAAAGGCAGAGGAACCAGAGACCAAATTGTCAACATCAGCTGGATCACTGAAAAAGCAAGAGCGTTTCAGAAAAACATCTATTTCTGCTTTATTGATTATGCCAAAGACTTTGACTGTGTGTATCACAACAAACTGTGGAAAATTCTTCAAGAAATTGGAATACCAGACAGATCACCTGACCTGCCTCTTGAAAAATCTGTGTGCAGGTAAGGAAGCAACAGTTAGAACTGGACATGGAACAACAGACTGGTTCCAAATAGGAAAAGGAGTACGTCAAGGCTCTATATTGTCACCCTGCTTATTTAACTTATATGCAGAGTACATCACAAGAAATGCTGGGCTGGATGAAGCACAAGCTGGAATCAAGATTGCCAGGAGAAATATCAATAACTTCAGATGTGCAGATGATACCACCCTTATGGCAGAAAGTGAAGAGGAACTAAAAAGCCTCTTAATGAAAGTGAAAGAGGAGAGTGAAAAAGTTGGCTTAAAGTTCAACATTCAGAAAACTAAGAACATGGCATCCAGTCCCATCACTTCATGGGAAATAGATGGGGAAACAGTGGAAACAGTGCCAGACTTTATTTTTTTGGGCTCCAAAATCACTGCAGATGGTGACTGCAGCCATGAAACTAAGACATTTACTTCTTGGAGGGAAAGTTATGACCAACCTAGAGAGCATATTAAAAAACAGAGACAGTACTCACTTCGGCAGCACATATACTAAAATTGGAATGATACAGAGAAGATTAGCATGGCCCCTGCACAAGGATGACATGCAAATTCGTGAAGCGTTCCATATTTTTACTATGAAAAAAAAAAAAAAACAGAGACATTACTTTGCCAACAAAGGTCTGACTAGTCAAGGCTATGGTTTTTCCAGTAGTCATGTATGGATGTGAGAGTTGGACCATAAATAAAACTGAGCACTGAAGAATTGATGCTTTTGAACTGTGGTGTTGCAGAAGACTCTTGAGAGTCTCTTGGACAGCAAGGAGATCCAACCAGTCCATCCTAAAGGAGATCAGTCTTGAGTGTTCATTGGAAGGACTAATGTTGAAGCTGAAACTCCAATATTTTGGCCACCTGATGCGAAGAACTGACTCATTTGAAGAGACCCTGGATTCTGGGAAAGATTAAAGGCGGGAGTAGAAGGGGATGACAGAGGATGAGATGGTTGGATGGCATCACTGACTCAGTGGACATGAATTTCAGTAAACTCTGGGAGTTGGTGATGAACAGGGCAGTCAAGTGTGCTGCAGTGTATGGGGTCACAAAAAGTCGGACACAAGTGAGCGAATGAACTGAAATGATTGTGTACTCACATACAAAAAGAAGCTGCTACATTGCAACAGTCTGAGAAATGGGATGTAGATACATAGACTAGTAGGCTTTGGGGAAATTAAGGGGTAAAAATTTAATATTAACAATATAGTGAAACATAGTAAGCCTGAATATAGTGATAACACTGATAAAATGTTGCATATATTGTACTCTTAAAGGAACACATCAAAAGCTTTCTTGTGAGGATTGAAATGTGCACAGTTTGTACTTGAGAGATAGAAAATCTGGAGCTCAAATGATGAGTTCTCATGCGAATTTAAACCTGATTTTTAAAAAACTGAGCCTGGCAAAGAAAAATGCCATAAACTCCTTATTTCATTGTTAATAGGTAATATTCTATTCATCATTTCTCCATGTCTGGAGGAAATTTCAACCTTCATAGGCTTTTTAAAAACACTCTTATTTGAGTCCTTGTAATTAACTAGAAGTTTATTTAAAAAATAAAAGTGATGTACCTTCACCTCTGCAGCTGTAGAGAGAATTTTATATTGTACCATAAATCAAATTCAAAAAATCTTATTCCATAAGATGTTAAGCTGAAACTTTCATGAAAATACCCATCGACTTCTTCTTATGAAATACACAGACTTGTGTGAATTTGCATTAACACCATCTGGGTTTTGTCCACTACTCATGTAAAGTCTTCCAGGAAACATTATTTGACCAGAATCCTTTTGAAAAACTCAGTAGAAATTGCTGTCATATCCTTTGAAAACAGCCTCCAAAAGTCTGCATTTTTTTTCATTATTCTTCATACTTGATAAATTGTAGCTCTGAGTGTCACGTTGACTTCAAGATACAGTGTGGACACTTTTTAGAAATGTCTCTGTATTCCAGAAGTATAAAAATACTTGTCAGACTTTCTTATCAACCCAGAAAAAGATCACTGCCAGCTTGATTCTGTTGGCACATAATTGAGAAACTGTTTTTCACTTAATTTAGCATGAGGTTGGTGATTTAGACTTTCACTGGAAACCAACATGCATTTTAGTCAATACTGTTTTATATTTAGATTTTTAGGTTTTTTTAAAAAGTATCATTTTAGAGACTAAACTAAATACCAATCTGTATGTCTCTTTACAGCTAATCTAATTTTGATTGATTCTTGATGAAAGGAGAAAAATAATGAGAAAAAGTAGTGAACTTTACATAACACTGATTTACCCAGTTTAAAGGGTCATCTTTTATGTGACTGTATCTTTTCTGCTTTTTTAGTATCAAAATTCTTTCTTTTATGAAATAATGATGGTAGTTGACATTAGTTTTTATTATTTTTAGTGTACTTGGTAAAATAAAGATTTCCAACTTTATGTTTACTCTGGAAATTAGAATTAAAGTAGACTTTTTATGTTCTATTCTGATGTGGAGAGCTGACTCATTGGAAAAGACCCTGATGCTGGGAAAGATTGAAAGTAAATGGAGAAGGGGGTGGCAGAGGATGAGATGGTTAGATAGCATCACCAATTCAATGGACATGAATCTGAGCAACCTCCAGGAGATAGTGAAGGACAAGGGAGCCTGGCATGCAGCAGTTCACGGGGTTGCAGAGTCAGACATGACTTAACAACTGAACAACAACAAAAAGTTCTGAGAACTTAAGTTCACATACCCTGTTATCATCAAAAGGCACACATTATTACCATTTTACTATTCATAAAGTATTTTAAATAACATATATACAGCCAAAATACCTGCCCCAAGTTAAATTTACTAATCAAAAACATTGATTTTAGTCAAGTGAAGATGCTCAATATGTATATAGGTTAAACTTTAGAATTTCTCTTCTACTTGACCGGTACTCCTATTGATGATGGTCAGAAAAGTTGGATGAAATATAGAAAACTTCTACTTGCAAGCCTTAAAAAGGTAATAAGGTGGTGGACTATTGCTAGGCCCAAATTCAAGAGAAAATAGGAATCTTGGCAGTCAGAGTTATTTACTTTGTCATTTGAAAGTCTGTGTGATGCTTTTGACAACTTTCATGTAAAAGAGGGACAAAGTTAGAGTCCAGTTCCCACCAAGAGAAAAGTCTGATTAAGTCCCCCACTTTGGGATGGTACATAAAAGATGGTACTCTAGGAGTAATGGTGAATCAAAAGCAAAACATGCCTTACTCAGGGTACAACCTAGCTCCCAATTATCTAGGTGGCCCATAAGTATTTTAAACTCTGATATTGGATTAAAGTGATCCAAGATGGGAGTGGTCATAGGCACCTGCTCAAAAACAAATGAAAATCTTTTCTGGGGGAGGATAACAACCTAGGGCTCATTCAAATAAAGTGTCTAGCACATACTCATAGAGAACCAGGAACATAAAGAGGCAAGACAACATGAATGAAGACCAATAATAATCATAAGCAACAAAACTAGATCTGTAGGGATTCTGGATACTGGAACTAGCCGTTATAGACATTAAAATTTAAGACAGAAATTCAGAGTTGCCGGGACGCTCACAGTTCAGCACTGGCAGCACAAGCACCGGAGCCAGGGAGGCTAACAGCGTCTGTCTGGGCCCTTCCGCGATGTCAAAGGCCGAGGAGGCCAAGAAGCTGGCTGGGCGCGCGGCCGTGGAGAACCACGTGAGGAATAACCAAGTGCTGGGAATCGGGAGCGGTCCTACAACTGTCCACGCCATGCAGCGAATAGCTGAAAGAGTGAAACAAGAGAATCTGAACCTCGTCTGTATTCCCACCTCCTTCCAGGCCCGTCAGCTCATCCTGCGGTATGGCTTAACTCTCAGTGACCTGGACCGACACCCAGAGATGGATCTTGCCATCGATGGTGCTGATGAAGTTGATGCTGACCTCAACCTCATCAAGGGTGGTGGAGGCTGCCTGACCCAGGAGAAGATTGTGGCCGGCAACGCCAGTCTCTTCATCGTGATTGCCGATCTCAGGAAAGATTCAAAGAACCTCGGGGATCAGTGGCACAAGGGCATCCCCATTGAGGTCATCCCTATGGCCTATGTCCCAGTGAGCCGAACTGTGACCCAGAAGTTTGGGGGCGTGATTGAACTTCGCATGGCCGTCAACAAGGCAGGTCCTGTGGTGACAGATAATGGGAACTTTATCCTGGACTGGAAGTTTGACCGGGTCCACAAATGGAGTGAAGTGAACACAGCCATCAAAATGATCCCAGGCGTGGTGGACACGGGGCTGTTCATCAACATGGCGGAGAGAGTCTACTTCGGGATGCAGGACGGCTCTGTGAACATGAGGGAGAAGCCATTCTGAACGGGTCCTGCACGAGCGGAGTTGTTCCTCTCGCGTCCCCAGCCCACCGCCGAGGTGGCCACGCCTCTCTGAGCCTTTGCCTTAACGTATCTGCCAGGTGGACAGCTTGGCAGGGTGAGGGGTTGAGGGTTAAATCTAGTCTTCTGAAGTATTGTTATTAAATGTCTTTTTAAAAAGAGAGATACAAACACACACACACACACACACACATATATATATATTTTACTATTAAAAATGCTCCGTTGTTTTGTTTTAATAAAGTGGAACTTGATTTCATGTTTTATATGAAACATTTACCAAAAAAAAAAAAGGACTGTCTTTTAAACTTTTAACTTGAGCCTGCTGGTTAAGCTTCTGAATATTGGGTTTGCTGAGGAATATAAGTCAAACTTTTTTTCAGACTGGTGAAATGAAGGGCACAGCCAGCAGCGATTCCCTGATGCCTTACTGGAAACATGGAGTTTGTTTACTTTTCTGCCACACTGTTTTGTTTTTTAGTTTTTGTTGCAATTACACACAATACATAGTTCTGTGTTCTAAGAGGTGAACTATAAAAATATAACAGTCTGGCAAGTATAGGGTGTGGTGTGTGATGACTCAGAATGTGTAAACTACCAGAGGGAGGATGTGGGAGTTCTTCAGCTGAGGTCATGGGTTCATTCAGACCGTTTGTGTTGAAGCCATTGAACAGAAATACTTGCCAGAACTGCCAAAGCACTGCTGTGAAGCACCTTTCAGTGACTGTCCTTTTGTTGTGAATATTTTTTTCGTTCCTTTATTGTTCCTTTGCATGGTTTGGCATCAGAAGTTGTTACCTCTTTATATTGTTTGAAGGTTGAAATAGAACAGTATGGTGCCAAAAAAAAAAAAGACAGAAATTCAGCCCCCAAAAAACTGAAAACTAAGAAAAATCTGAAAACTATATGAAAATGACATAGAGGATGTTTTGTAAGAAGTATACAGAAACCTTAGAACTTAAAAGGTACAGTATCTGAAATTAAGAAAGATTTGACACAGTTGAAAAGAGAATTACTACAAGATAAGACAGAAGAAAAAGAAAATACCCAGAGTGAAGCATAGAGAGACAAATAGATAAAATTTCCAAAAAGAGAATAAGAAACCCAGAGGAGTGTTGAAAAAAACAAATCTAACATGCATTCCACTGGAATTCCAGAAGAAAAGTAAAGAGGATGTAGATCAGAAGTAATTGAAGGGATAATAGTTGACTATTTTCCGAGCTGATCAAAGACATTGTCATACCACAGATCACCCAGAAAACAGAGCCTGAAGCAAATACTTGTTTGTTTTAACAGTTTGCTGGGGAGTGTCATCCCACAGGAGCAGGAAGGAGGTAAAAGTGGTGGAAGACAAAAAAGGAAATATTACAAATGTAAGGACTGTGTTATTTACTAACATGGCCATAAACTCACGAAAAGCTTATAATTTAGCCTCACAAGCCATCTTCAGTGAGGAAACATGAGCAACTGTTATTACAACAATCTGGTTGGGTGGGAGTAAGAAGGAAGGGAAAATTATCCAATTCTCCTCTTACATGGGATATTGTCCGCCACAGAGCTGATAACTCACGAACTTCAGGGTGAGTGCCTGTGAGTGCCCAGTGGGTACAATAACTCTCACCTCAGCCACACGGGGAAGCCCCAGGGCAGGAGATGAAAGTACACGATGCATGAATGAGTGACACACGGGCCAGTGTGACCAGGGGCGGGAGTAGCTGCCGCAGAGGGCAGAGGTGCAGGTGGAACTGGAGGCTTTGACCCGAATTGGTAACAGCAAGGTCAGTACTTGGATCCAGGGTGACCCACAAAGTAACTCTTCTACAGATAAGAGTTCAGTCGATTCCAGAAGTCCTGCAAACCCCAAGCAGGGTAAGGAAAAGAAAGCCCATCTAGGCACATTGGAGTCAAATGACCAAAGCCCAGGACAAAGAGAACATCTTTAAGGAAGACAGAGGAAAAAGGCAGATCATCTTAAAAATTAGCAACTAAAACGATAGTTTATTTCTCAATAGAAATGATGGAAAAAAGATGACAAAGAAATGGCCTCTTCAACAGGCTTAAAGAAAATGACTGCCACAGTTACTTGGAAAAATCTATAAATAGTGGAAACACCGCTTGGAAGTCACATAGAAATAAAGACATTTTCAGGGGAAAAAAAAGCAAGAGTTTATCACCAGTAAGCACATACTATAAGCCTTAAAGGGTGTGCTTCAGCTAAAAGAAAATGAGATGATGCAGAAGGTCAAAGCTACAGAAAGGAATAAAAAATAATTAAAATAGTGCTAGTAAATCTAAATGTATATGTACTATATAAAACAAAACAATAATATCTTCTGCAGTTTTAAATATTTACAGAATTCAATGTAAGTACACGTGGATTAAGGAGGCGGGTACATGGAGTTAGTGTTCCCGAAAACTCCCTTTGTACTGGGAGAGAATAAAAAGCACCAGTTAACATCTAACTCTGACAAACCAAAAACTGCATGTTGTAACATCTAAGATAAACAGTGAAAGTAGAGTAAACTGTGTCTAACTTCCTAGTAAATAGAGAACAAAAGTAAAATTAGGAAAAAAAATAACAACAATCAATCCAAAAGAGGTAAGAATGCAACAGACAGAAAAATACATAAATCATGTCATAATTACACAAATATATAATCACATAATCAAATATATCAATAATTATAATAAATATAAAGTGATTAAAAGCACCACATAAAACACAAAGAATGACAGGCTGATTTAAAAAGTAAACCCCAAGGAAGAGAGTTTAGAATTCATCTCTTCCCAAGTTATCTATAAAGTATATATTTAGATATATTTATACAACCACTTGGCTACAGCTTGGACTTGTAAACTATAGGAATCTCACTATATCACTATGTCCTGATCCAGAAAGTTCTTTTCTAATTCAGCTCCTTTGCCTCAAAATGTTAGAGTCTTTTCACTATTGAGCCAAAAATTTCAACCTAGTTTTGTTGTATGGAATTCCATGACAGTCCTTTAAATATATAAATATGGCTACCTACTTTTCCCTTTTACATATCCCAATTTTTTTCAATAGTTTTTATGTAATCTTCACCATCTTTTTATATTGTTTATGAAAACAGCCTCCTCTAAATCTGGGTCATTGATTCACCTTGCTGAGTTATAGATTCTGCTTGAGTTGTCCATCACATTGGCACTTTCTTCAGTTTCATGTCGTTGGGAAATGACACAAAGTCATCCTTTCTGTATTTTCCTCTTATCCAATGAGAAAAATATTGACTAGAGTGTATCTGATGACAGTGCTTTAAAGCAGGCATTGGAGAAGTTTCTCTAGGTTGACTTTCATTCACTAATCGGCATTCTGAAAGTCTTAGCATTTAAATCTGTATATCAAGTATGAATCAATAATAGAAATAACAAATGTAAATCAATAGCCAGCTCAATAGCCGTTCTCCAACTTGTCTACAAAGTCAGCACCAAAGGCTTTGTTAGACATCTTGCTGAGATTCAGATACCGTAGGCCTAATTGTCAGACTAGAACGACCAATTTCAGTGATGACGGTAAATCTCCATTTCCATTTGTTTATGAGGACAGAATTATTGTTGTTTAGTTTGTTATGCCTGATGTCCGAATCCCCGAGCGGGAAGAGAGAAGGCCTCCAAGACAATGCAACTCGCAAAAAGGGAAGTTTATTGCTGACTCGAGTCAGGGCTCCTGCCGCATCCAACGCAGTGGTGCGGGGTCAGAGAGCCCCAAGCCCAAGCTGTTACACAAACTTATAGGGTGAGCATAAGCAGTTGGTAGCTGGCTTAAGCGGATTGGTTACATGTTTGCAAAGCAATTTTATTAGTCCAAACTTTTGCAGGCTTTTTTCAAACTTGGGAGTTCCTGGGGTTTTCAGCTTTCCCTTGATATGTTCCCTTTTTCTTACTGGGCGCATGTTGATTGGCTGGCTCCAGGTGGCCTGATAGGGTAGGGAATCTTACCATTTCGGGGGAAATCTAAACTTAGGTCTGGGCCGCCTGTCATGGTGTTAGCCCTGGCAACCTCACAAGTTGCTAAGTTGTGTCAGACTCTGCAACCCCGTTGACTGCAGCATACTGGGCTTCCCCATCCCTCACCATCTCCCAGAGTTTACCCAAGTTCATGTCCGTTGAGTCAGTGATGCCATCCAACCATCTCATCCTCTGTCGTCCCCTTCTCCTCCTGCCTTCAATCTTTCCCAGCATCAAGGTTGTTTCCAGTGAGTTGGCTCTTTACATCAGGTGGCCAAAGTATTGGAGCTTCAGCTTCAGCATCAGTCCTTCCAATGAATACTCAGGGGTGATTTCCTTTAGGATTGACTGGTTTGATCTCCTTGCCGTCTAAGAGACTCTCGAGAGTCTTCTCCAAAACAATTCAAAAGCATCAATTCTTTGTTGCTCAGTCTTCTTTATGGTCCAGGTCTCACATCCATACATGACTACTGGAAAGACCATAGCTTTGACTATATGCCTTTGCTGGCAAAGTGATGTCTCTGGTTTTTTTAATACTCTGTCTAGGTTTGTCATAGCTTTCAGAGGCAACTATAAAATACAGCCTGCAGATTTAGATTATTTTAATACAATAATCTGGCCCCTCATGCATCTACAAGCACTGAAATTGCTGGATATTACTTTTCTAAGAAGACATGTTGGAATATACTGGATCTTTAAACCCTTGGAAAAATCCAACTTGTCTCAAACCATGAATAATCAATAAGTAAAACTAGTCATAGCTTTCAGAGACCCCAAGCACCTGTTGCAAAGAAAGTCAAGCTAGACTAAGGTCTCTGACAGTCCAGAAAGTTACAACGAGGCTCATCTGAGGTTCAGAGGAGAAGATGCTCCATGGAACATTTTATTTATGTGGTACCAGAACTCCTAGTTCCTTCTTAGTGAATTGGAATCCTGTCAATAGACTCTTTTCTTAGGGGACCTATACGCATTAGAATGCTTTCGGCTTTCTATGTGTAA